AATGCTTATATTTTCAGTAGCCTAATATTTTTTTTTTTACGGGTCATTTAGGCATTTTCAACCTTCTTCAGTGTTTTCACTTGAGTTGGACATTTTTTCACTTGACTTTGACACTCGTGGATGAGGAACGTCCCATGAACGTGTGTTCGAGTCAAGTGAAATGTTGTCTAATGGGAAAAAGGTGAAAATATTCATTATTCGCTTTACATACTTAGCGTTTGGCATACTTCAGGTGTAATTTCAATATCGGTTATCGGCAGGTCATATATCGTTTTAGGCCGATATATCGGATTCACCTAATATCAGCCGATACCGATAACCGATAAAATATCGTTGCATCTCTAGATCAAGTATAGTTTCATTTAAAGAAATTCTTCCCAGTCAGCACAAGGCACAAATTGTCTATGTTTTATGCTCCTGGAACAGCATCAGTCAGATCATGACTACACAGGGAAAGAGTTGATTTGAATGTCTCTTTTGGTTCAGAACTTCACGTGCAATAATTGTTCCATACATATTGTTTAGTATTCAAAGGTTGAAAGGAATCAGGCAGTTGATTGGAGTCTTTATTCTTGAATAAAATTGAATCATTTGTGTGGTTCACATTCTATTGGGAGAGAAATCTCAATCTATGGAGATGAATTTCAAATCAAATTCTAAATTGTGAATTTCATGGGGAGTTAGAAATTCAGGATCAACAGTTTTTAATATATACTTAGAGAAATGGAGAGGAAATGCAGAGAAATGGAGAGGAGAGTGTTCTGTTCCATGTGTGCCATGAACTACTGAGTTTTCTTCTAACGAAGCTGAAACTGATGAACATTATAAGTAATTCATCTGTATTCCTTTGGCATATTGTTAAAAAGGCATGCATCTAATACAGTATTTACTTAGCCATAGAGGCTTTCTAACCAATTCTAAAGTCCAGTCACAGTTACCCACCAGTTACCAAGTTAAAGTTGTGTTATGAAAGAAATGATAATGATTCCTCTGCACTTGTCAATCTACCCTGAACCTACTTTTCAACCTAAACAAACATCAATTTTCTGAACTTTTGACTTCTGGCTCAGTTCAAGTTAGTAAAACAACCCAGCAAAATTCTTAGGCACCCACCTAGAATGGTCTTCAGAAGCAAGCAAATGAAGTTGCCATATTTTTGCTATTGATTGCACATTTTAAAGCTGTGCAGTTCCAGCCCTCTTGAAGCTGCAGAATATTAGTCAAGCAATAATTTGGGTGGACCAGTATTTTTTTAATATAAATTTTTCCTGCACTGGAGTAAATAAGTGCGGTGTCAGAAGGATAGTTTAATTTTGAGTTTCTCGTTTTCAAGGGGTTGTGGCAGTATTACAGCATTACCCCCTCTCCCCTTGATCCCCAAAGTCTACAGGGTGGTGCAAAAGTTGCCCACCATAGGGTTAATTACAGTAAATGTCCGAATCATTTACCATCAACTTGGAAACACTTTGATTCACTGTACATATAATGTTTGAACATATCTTAACTCCACCCTCTTGACTTTTGTTAATTTTGCAGCCATCAGTTACCTGCAAAGAAAGAAACAAGAATTAATGTAGTGCAATTGTGAAATCCCCTATGGTGCATGACTTTTGCACCACCCTGTAAAAGCAGGGTTTGTGTTAACTCGCAATAGCGACTTGTATTACCTGACTCATTTGCAAAACATCTAAGTCCGTGGGACTCATTGAGAACCTCCTGAACATGTTCCAACTGAGCTGAAGCTAGGTGCCACGACTCAAGATTTAAAAAACCGAACTCTGACAAGGGTCAGTCATCCATGCCTGCCTACTTTGATGAAGTCATGAGAAGAAGCCTGCCGCAACTATCAATGTTCTTGTGAATCATACACATGTGCATTTTGACTGGAATGACAGGTGGAAGTGGAGGGAGAAAATCCCACAGGTTAGGACGCACCAGTAGGTGCTAAACACCATAGACCTCTAGGTCGTCCCTTTCACTCTGAGGTGTCAGGGAGGTTGGAAGCACAACTCGTACAGGACCTACGAGTGTGCCCTTCGGACACAGATTTTGATGTCCACGGAAACACTGTTGTGACCTGTGGATTCTCTAGCAGGTATGTGGCATTCTCTCTATAAAACAGTTGACTGCCTGATGGATGAGATGGTAATTTGTTTAAAAATGGAAATTTTGCCAATAAAAATGAAAACTGCTGCTTTGCTTTGTCCTGAGATGGTGACAAAGAAGAAGAATGGGCAGTTACGTTTTCTTTTTTATTTATTATGGGAATCAGAATGCATTGCTCATAATTCATTTTCTTGCTGCTGATTGGTTGATTCAATACATTTTGTAAGGAGCGTATACCATATGGTAGCAGATTTCAAAATTGTGATTGCTAAAAGCATGCGTGTTCCTTGGTGTAGGATGGGGAATCTTGCAGTGGATCACATTCTTATGGTGTATGACTTGCGGATGATGAGGGCCACGACACCTGTGCAGGTGGCTATGGAGCCATTCCTTCTCCGCTTCATCCCTTCGTTCTCCTCCCGTTTGGCCATCCTGTCTGCCTCTGGCCAATTGCAACTCCTGGAGACAAGCAATTCTGATCTCTGTCTCTGCCAGGTGAGCATTTATTCACTCAGGCTTGCTGAGCTTTTTTGGATTGTGCTGAATGATGAAATGGTTATCTAGTTGCTGTTGAGACTCCAATTTTTCATAGAGTGCCTTCAGACAGCAATCAGTTTAGTTTCATCAATGATGATCACATACTCTAGCTAAGCAACATCATGAATGAAAGCAACATATATATTTACTTCTTGCTTTTCGCCAATGAAGATGGGGATGGTCAACTTTCAAGCTATGACAAGTAAATGTTTCTCCAGGTTGAGACACCAGGTGCAATGTTCCTGACCTTTGACATTGCTCCTACATGCCAAGCCATGGCATTTGGGGACTCTGCAGGGTACCTGCACGTCTATGCGACAAATCCAGAAGCCATGTTCAATGCTCACCCAAGGGATACGGAGTTCCCAGACCCCATCGATCCCATTCCACACATTCCACTCGATGATGTCCTTGCTCCACTTGCCTCTGTCCCCCTCCCCTTCTGTCCTGCGGGTCAGCCTTATCTCTCCGATTGGCCTGCTCAGTTTACCAAGAAGGTGTACTGGTGAGTTTGCCTTGCCTGCAATGGATCCATTGATTTTTATTATTATCAAAGCCCAAGAAGGACTGAAATGGACTTTTTGCTGACTGATGTCAATGTACAAGCTCCTGCTATTAAGTTTATTCTTTGGTTTGACTGCTTTAAGGTATAAATGGGGTAGGTAGACCTATATTTGCATTGCACTCTTGTTGGCTTGCAGGAGCTTCATGAGAGAAACAAAGGGCCATTATTATTGTTTTTACTCATAAAGGCAATAGTGCTACCAGCTATCACTAGAAATCTGTAGAGGTTCTTGGATCCCCCCCCCCCCCAACTTGCACAATTCCTAGGTGGGTGCAGTAACCATAAAAGACAGGCCTATACACACTTGGAAATTACAAATTTGTTCCCAAGATGAGGGAATATAATTTATATACCTTGACCATTCTGTATGAAATCGTTTTATTTGGTCTTGAGTCTGCTAAATTTATTAGTTGTAAGTTTTACAACATGAATCTAACACAAATTATCTTGTGATGAATCTTTTCTTGGGAAGTACTTTTTGACCAAGACTGGTGAAGCTCACCAAGCCTTTCAGAGGGGCTATACTTTGTCCATTAGTTTGTGGAATTGGGAAAGTCCATGATTGTTTCAAGGAAATTCAGATAGGGACATCAAGAGGCCTGTACTACATTCACATTCATAACTCAAAATGGGAAATTTTGCAATGTCTGACAAAGTATATGAAAGAATTAGATATTCATATCCAGACATATATTCCTATTATTCTAAAGAGATAGTTTTGTTCAGACTAATTTTTCTAGGGTTTCCTTATATTCAGAGTTTATGGTTGTTTTAGGAAAGCACCGAAAATCGACTCAGAAATTTTCCACAGCATGAAGATGGTCCAGAGCATTGGTTATGCCCCAAATCCAGGGAACAAGCGGCGAAATCAGGTATGAAAAATTTTATATGTCCTCATTTAGTGCATTCAAGCAGACCCTGAAAGTCTAGTTGAATCCCACATGTCAGGTTCCGTACAAGCTGGACAAGTCAAAGCAACGCACCAGACAGCTGAGCGTCCCGGACTCGCCCCACGATGGCAAGGGAGGCGAGAACTTGTTTGTCCCAATAATACCCAAGAGATACCGGAGGGTGGAAGTCAAGTACTCGAAGATGGGGTCAGATGACTTTGACTTTGATCATTACAATAAGACCAGCTTCTGTGGATTGGAGGCCAGTCTTCCCAATGCCTACTGCAATGCCATGCTTCATGTTAGTCCCTTAGTCTCCTGGTTCTACTCTTTTCTCTTTCTGCTTTGTAGCACAATCGAGATTCTTACAATCTAATTTTTGACCTCTTATCAATAGGGACAGGGTTTTCAAGATATACATATGCTGATTAGATATACACTTCAAATTATTCATATTGGAATGCACATTGGCCTTCAAAACAGATAGGAACATTAGTGCTTTTTAAAATTTACTGTAATTTTTTTTAAGCCTCCTGTTTCCTAAAGGGGTGGTATGCTCACAGAAATTGATGAATTGATCTTCTCTTCAGGAGTCAGCACCTAGACCTAGGTATGGGGCTTACATTAAGTTGTATGTTCAGGCTCTGCCTCATGTCAAAATCTAAAAAATGCCATTGGCCTTCAAAGGAAAACTTTCACACGAATGCATTTTATATTGTTGGTCTTTTTTTTTGGTAAAGGGTAAATAAAAGCTCCAAACTTCTCAGGTGACATTGTCATTATTCCTTGATATTTTTCCAGGTTTTGTACTATGTGGAGCCCCTGCGTGCCTCCCTCCTGTCTCACATGTGTCACCGGGAGTTCTGCCTGGCATGTGAACTTGGTTTCCTCTTCCACATGTTGGACTCTGCAGCTGGGTTTCCCTGCCAGCCGGCCAATTTCCTGCGAGCGTTTCGTACTCTCCCCGAGGCTGCCGCTCTTGGCCTCATAATGAGCGAACAGGATGAGCATTCTTCTGTGCTGAAGAAGAAATCCATGCTTGGAAGCCTCATACAAGTTAGGCTTAGTTATATTCATATCCATTTTTTTTAAATAAATGTTTTGCATTTTCTCTTTACTGCAATATGTATTTGCTGGGGTTCAAGTGCCCTTCATGTGATTCATCTCATGCTACCCTCTTGATGATATTTTTGGACAGGAAATAGCAACTTGAAAGTAGACTTGTGGTCCTTCTCTTCCTCATAGAAAGATTAATAATTCACTCCTCTGGAGGCAAAATTATTTTTAATATTTGATATTTAAAATTTGTATACTATTCCTGATATTTCCTTGGGATTTGTTTGCTTACTTCTACCTCACACTTGTTCCATACCCTCTGATGCACATTGGCACTGGTATAGACTTCACAATTTTCTGTCACCATGAAATGCAAAGGAAGCTGTTACTATCATGGACTTCTTGAACTTTCCCGGCAGGGAAAATTTACAATAACATAACAACTGCCTTGTGGCCAAGTTAAAAACTTTGAATATTGATATCTGAATGCCAGCATTTTCATCTCTATGAGTTTTGATGAGAAGTCTGGAACAGAGTGTAAAGACCAGTTTTCAAGGGTTTTTATCATGCTCTACCCCATCCAACTCTTTCTTGCATGTAGCATTCAGCATGTAGTTGAGTGTCTTTTTGATGAATTCAAAGCAATAACCCTTTATGAAGGGTTATTGCTTTGAACTTTGGCTTGTAACATAGAACCCCACCATGTTTCAGTTCTTCCATTCTATCCCTTTTTTTTTCTGGGTCTCCAGATAAGCGACAAATAAAAAACATGGAGGTGACATTTTATCTTTTTTTCATATCTTTTTTCCTACGTTCACGTGTCTGTCTCTGACCATCATCTTTATTGAAGATATGTATAAGTGCTACTGCACCTATAGGTAGTGAATCATAATGTTATTTTGCAGAGGGTAAATATTTAATCTACAAAAAGAAAGGCAACAACAAAGCACCTTTAAGTTTTCTCAATAGCTTCCAAGTAGTTTCCTAAATAATTCAAATTGGTTTTGCAGAAAACCTTTTCTAAATCTCTAATTCAATTTTTTGCAGAAAGTCAGTTTTACATCTTTATGTAAGTCAGCAAGGAGTGTATCTGCATACACATATATATTCTATTTAATTTGTAAGAAAATGTAAAGGTGGTGAATAGTGATCTCATTTCTCTTCCGACAGAACTGGAACCGTTTTGTGCTGCAGCAGATCCACACTGAAGCAAAAGTGAGAAAAGCACCCCCTCCAGAGAAGAAACCTGATAAAGAAGAAGGGAATCCTAGCTTATCCAGCACAAAAGCTGAGGAAGAGAAGGTTGAAGAGGAGGTGCAAGTGGAGGTGGAGAAGAAAGAGGAGAAGAAGGAAGAGAAGGCAGAGGAGAGGACAGACTGGAGCTGCGTGGCTGAGGTCTTTGGCTTCCAGCAGCTCCAGATCATCCAGTGCATGTCCTGCAATTGCGAGACCAAGAAAGAACGTGTTGCCCTCCTCTGCAATCTCACCTACCTTGACTTCATCCATAGTGAGTCAGTAGTGGAAGTGCAGTAGTGCTTTGTAATTTTTTCTCTGAGAATTTACATGATGTCTTTGGGCTTATCCAATTAGTATGGCTAATTTTGTTCCATGTCATTTTGTTTTTATTACCTTTCGGCAATTTTTGTCTGAGGAACATGCTTACAAGTCAGAATGCCAAAACGCCTTAGATGATAGTGAACGACATAGAAAATGCATTTACCTTGAGCAACAGCTGAATGCAAAGTTGTTGCTTTTATGTTTTACCCTGTAGCTAGTGAAGACAAGGGAACCGAAAAGGTTCACACATTTGGAGAGGTCCTGGCAAAGAGCCTGTGCCTGGAGCAGATGACATCAGCATGGTGCGAGCCCTGCCAGAAGTACCAGCCGACAACACAGAGTCGCCGCTTGAAGATGCTTCCGTCGATCCTGTCGGTCAACTGTGGGATGGAAAGCAACCTGGACTTTCAATTCTGGTCAGAGCAAATGAAGCATTTGATGGAAACATCCCAACAGAAGGCAGGGGCAAGCACTGGGCCCCCCAGCCAAGAACCACCGAGTGAGGTCAGGGACATCCCTCCGTTGGCCGTTCGACCATGTCGATATGGGAAGCTCTGTGCTCGACCCAACTGCAAGTTCTGGCATGAGGGACGGGATCATGCTTCCAAGCGAGATAGCTGTGAGGATTTCGAGTTCTGCATGCTGTTTTCATCTCAGAAAGATCTTTAATCCTCTATTGGTTGAATAAATTGTGGTTGGTATAATTTTTTGTCACTAGCAAGTGAACCAAAGTGAGAATTCAGGTGAACTTAGAATGGACCATGGAATTTTTGGCAGATTCCATTTTGAATAAGTTTTCATATTTTTCCATTTATATTTCTATGCAATGTTTCTTGCTTAAATTACTTTACTTACTGAAGCTAGATTGGGATGTAGAACTTCTGATGATTGGATGCCAGTTTGTTTTTATTGAATTATATATTTTCAGCAAGAGTCCCATGTGGGCCCATCTTATAAAAACTTCATTGATATTCCTCCATAACAGCAAGAAATATATCACATTGAACATTGAATTCACATGAAAGTTTTAAAAGAATGAGAGTAGTCTTAACTATCTACTATAGGGTTATGTTCCCATGTACTTCCCCTCCTGTATAAGAGTTCGGCAAAAAAAAAAAGTACCTCTTTACATAATTGAATACGATTACACCTCCAGTGTGTACGTATAAACGTAGGGACTCACTCCGGGTTACGAAAACAAAACAAACCTAACATAAGCTAACATTGGTCCCAGGTCCTACAATGTCAACTGACAATTTGTTTCATTCTCTGCTAATCAAAATTGGTGAAAAACCCCATCTTGATATTGTCTTTGCCTTAGTTTTTTTTGTTCCATGGAGTCCCTAAAGGGGAAGTTGGTTCTTGGATTGTGAATGATTTACCCTGACCTATGTTACTGAAACTTCTTAATTTAAGTATCTCCATCAAGTAATCCTCTGTTGACATATCTGAACCTCACTTTTTCTGACTGACTACTTCTGGTGGTGGGATGCTAATTAATGAAGGTACATTGGCATTCATATGCAGGATTTTAGGAAGACTTAGCATTAAGAAAGTTGAATGATTAGTGCAAGGGAGAGGAGAATGTGGCAGGACTGAAAAAGAGGGGTTGTGACAAAGGTGCCAGATTGCAGGCAATGGTGGATTGGGGGGTGGAGGGGGGGCCTTGAGCCCCCCGCTTGTCACTGGTACAGAGAAACTGGGATGATTAGATGGGTTAGGGGATTTCCCCAAAGGAAAGACCTGGGTGAGACTTTTAAATTATTTCAAGGATTTAATAAACTGAATCTCTCTCTTTTTGCGATAGCTTTTCCTCAATTGCATTACTTAAAGTGACACTTAGGATAAATACAAATTTGAGGTAGAGGTGTTTCCTCCTTGGGGTAGTGGGGAATGAATTGGGTTGTCAGCTGAAGTAGTGGAAGCTGCATCTGTAATGAGAATTTCAAGTATTAAAAAAAAAAAAAGGATTCTTGTGGCTGCAAACAAACATTTCCTTATACTCTTAGACAAAAAAACATTTTTAAAAAGAGGCTGAATGAGGAATACGTTCAGTTCAGAAACAGTAATGTTTGGGAAAAGGTGATTAAGTGACTAGAAGATTTTTTCCTGTATTATCTTTGTTTGTCCTATTGCCAAATTGTTCATATCAATGATGCAATGGATGGAAGATGCTAGGAGTTTTCAACTGGCAGGTTAGCTAAATGTATCTTATTGGAGTGTGTGGCCTTGGCTTCTTGTATTCTGCAGCTCTCTGCCATACTCCAGTAAGAACCATGTTCACTATATGAAAGGGAGAGGAAGGAGAGAATGGAAGACAGATGAAGTGCAGACCAGGTTGAAGGAATCATTGCAATGGTGGCAATTCCTGCTTATTATTATCAATTTTCAAAATGTTGGCTTTCCAAATAGGTTTGCCAAATAATTCTGAGTTACACCCTGAATCCTACTGTAGACATGTCATTGGAATAGGGGAAACATTAGCAAGTGGTTGATCTATCAGAGACTATATATTTTTCTAGCTTGAGCTGTAACTTGACAAAAATATGTGGTAGTTTTATGAGTTTCACCTGATGGGACTGTTTCTATTTTCACTCTAAAGAAGCTCCAAAAGTTAATATTCTGTCTAAGACTAGATTTTGATTCTTGCTTTTTACACTAGGGTATCAGAAGAGCATCGTCAGAGATGTGCCGATGCGTGTCTCCTGGGTCCCTCTGACTATCAAGATCAAGCTCTTCCCAGATGGTACTGTGTCCATCAAGGACAAGACTACTGACTCCCAACATACTGTAGTTGTTCCCCTACTTTCACTGAAGAGATTTTAAAAAAGTGTAAGAGAGGTTAAAAGTTTAGGAATATGGGTTACAAGGTAAAGAAACAAGAGGGAGAGGAGGAGGAAGAAAAGAAGGAAGAAGAGGATGAGGGATACGAGGAATATGAACTGATGGCGGCAGTCTCCCACATCCAGCATCCGACCGTCCCTGAGAAGAACCAGCTGGTTGCTTGCGTCAAGGTGGCCCCATCATACCATGAGCGCCTCCTTGGCAGTCCTGTGAGCCAGTGGTATCTCTTCAATGACTTCTCCATCTCACCCATCTCACCACNGTCAGAGCAAATGAAGCATTTGATGGAAACATCCCAACAGAAGGCAGGGGCAAGCACTGGGCCCCCCAGCCAAGAACCACCGAGTGAGGTCAGGGACATCCCTCCGTTGGCCGTTCGACCATGTCGATATGGGAAGCTCTGTGCTCGACCCAACTGCAAGTTCTGGCATGAGGGACGGGATCATGCTTCCAAGCGAGATAGCTGTGAGGATTTCGAGCTCTGCATGCTGTTTTCATCTCAGAAAGATCTTTAATCCTCTATTGGTTGAATAAATTGTGGTTGGTATAATTTTTTGTCACTAGCAAGTGAACCAAAGTGAGAATTCAGGTGAACTTAGAATGGACCATGGAATTTTTGGCAGATTCCATTTTGAATAAGTTTTCATATTTTTCCATTTATATTTCTATGCAATGTTTCTTGCTTAAATTACTTTACTTACTGAAGCTAGATTGGGATGTAGAACTTCTGATGATTGGATGCCAGTTTGTTTTTATTGAATTATATATTTTCAGCAAGAGTCCCATGTGGGCCCATCTTATAAAAACTTCATTGATATTCCTCCATAACAGCAAGAAATATATCACATTGAACATTGAATTCACATGAAAGTTTTAAAAGAATGAGAGTAGTCTTAACTATCTACTATAGGGTTATGTTCCCATGATGAAGGGGAGGACATATTCTCAAGCCGTTTTTTTTTTTCATGGAGAAATGTATTAACTTATGCTAATGTGGAGGTCACACATGCATATTTGCATCCCTGAGTGAGGCCCAATGCTTTTGTTTTGTTGCCTAACATAAGCTAACATTGGTCCCAGGTCCTACAATGTCAACTGACAATTTGTTTCATTCTCTGCTAATCAAAATTGGTGAAAAAACCCCGTCTTGATATTGTCTTTGCCTTAGTTTTTTTTGTTCCATGGAGTCCCTAAAGGGGAAGTTGGTTCATGGATTGTGAATGATTTACCCGTGACCTATGTTACTGAAACTTCTTAATTTAAGTATCTCCATCAAGTAATCCTCTGTTGACATATCTGAACCTCACTTTTTCTGACTGACTACTTCTGGTGGTGGGATGCTAATTAATGAAGGCACATTGGCATTCATATGCAGGATTTTAGGAAGACTTAGCATTAAGAAAGTTGAATGATTAGTGCAAGGGAGAGGGGAATGTGGCAGGACTGAAAAAGAGGGGTTGTGACAAAGGTGGCAGGTTACAGGCAATGGTGGATTGGGGGGTGGGGGGCCTTGAGCCCCCTGCTTGTCACTGGTACAGAGAAACTGGGATGATTAGATGGGTTAGGGGATTTCCCCAAGGGAAAGACCTGGGTGAGACTTTTAAATTATTTCAAGGATTCAATAAACTGAATCTCTCTCTTTTTGCGATAGCTTTTCCTCAATTGCATTACTTAAAGTGACACTTAGGATAAATACAAATTTGAGGTAGAGGTGTTTCCTCCTTGGGATAGTGGGGAATGAATTGGGTTGTCAGCTGAAGTAGTGGAAGCTGCATCTGTAATGAGAATTTCAAGTATTAAAAAAAAAAAAAAGGATTCTTGTGGCTGCAAACAAACATTTCCTTATACTCTTCGACAAAAAACATTTTTAAAAAGAGGCTGAATGAGGAATACGTTCAGTTCAGAAACAGTAATGTTTGGGAAAAGGTGATTAAGTGAGTAGAAGATTTTTTCCTGTATTATCTTTGTTTGTCCTATTGCCAAATTGTTCATATCGATGATGCAATGGATGGAAGATGCTAGGAGTTTTCAACTGGCAGGTTAGCTAAATGTATCTCATTGGAGTGTGTGGCCTTGGCTTCTTGTATTCTGCAGCTCTCTGCCATACTCCAGTAAGAACCATGTTTACTATATGAAAGGGAGAGGGAGGAGAGAATGGAAGACAGATGAAGTGCAGACCAGGTTGAAGGAATCATTGCAATGGTGGCAATTCCTGCTTATTATTATCAATTTTCAAAATGTTGGCTTTCCAAATAGGTTTGCCAAATAATTCTGAGTTACACCCTGAATCCTACTGTAGACATGTCATTGGAATAGGGGAAACATTAGCAAGTGGTTGATCTATCAGAGACTATATATTTTTGTAGCTTGAGCTGTAACTTGACAAAAATATGTGGTAGTTGTATGAGTTTCACCTGATGGGACTGTTTCTATTTTCACTTTAAAGAAGCTCCAAAAGTTAATATTCTGTCTAAGACTGGATTTTGATTCTTGCTTTTTTGTTTTTTACACTAGGGTATCAGAAGAGCATCGTCAGAGATGTGCCGATGCGTGTCTCCTGGGTCCCTCTGACCATCAAGATCAAGCTCTTCCCAGATGGTACTGTGTCCATCAAGGACAAGACTACTGACTCCCAACATACTGTAGTTGTTCCCCTACTTTCACCGAAGAGATTTTAAAAAAGTGTAAGAGAGGTTAAAAGTTTAGGAATATGGGTTACAAGGTAAAGAAACAAGAGGGAGAGGAGGAGGAAGAGAAGAAGGAAGAAGAGGATGAGGGATACGAGGAATACGAACTGATGGCGGCAGTCTCCCACATCCAGCATCCGACTGTCCCTGAGAAGAACCAGCTGGTTGCTTGCGTCAAGGTGGCCCCATCATACCATGAGCGCCTCCTTGGCAGTCCTGTGAGCCAGTGGTATCTCTTCAATGACTTCTCCATCTCACCCATCTCACCACAAGAGGCTGTTTGGTTCAACCTGGACTGGAAGCTCCCTGCAGTGCTGTACTTTGCCCGCACCGATCTCACCGTTCGCTTCAGAGAGTTGCTGGATAGACAGCGAAATCCAATCACTGTGGATGTGTTCAAGCAGGACAAGAGTCTGGCTCAGAAGTCAGGTCATCTCATTACCACATTCGTTCCTCTCCAAGTGGACGAAATACTCCAGAAAGGTTTGACTTGGGCTGCACCTATGGAACATCATTTAGTATAGATATACATTTTTTAAATGTATGTTGGTAGGTCAGACAGAGAAAGATTCAAGTGCTCTGTGGTTTTACCTGTTTGTCCTGGCATTTAATAGATTTTTGGCACCATGAAGTAATGGGTTGTATTTTTAAAACTGAGTTTTGGTAACCTGATTTAACATAGTGGTTATGAGTGACTTGCAGGAATGCAGAAACTGCCTTTTGTTGAAAGTACAAGTGTTGTGACCTGATAGGCAATAGGTGGACCCTCTTTGCTGAGTGTGATTTTCAGGTAGCAAAAACAGGAGATAGATGTCACATTTTAGTCTTCTTTTTTTCTGTAATTTCTGTGGCCTTCATTTTTGTAATAGTTTGCTTAGCCCTTAAACAACCAAGCTGGGTCAAGTGTGACCCAGAGCCTATGTTATAACAAGCAAAACTTCGAGGCTTGGTAGTTAAGGGTTAATTAATGATTGTTATTCTGCTATGGAATTTAATCAGATGCTTTGTCTCGGCTCATATAGGTGTAGTTATATTTTGCCAGAAGATAGATGTTTGTGTTGGACTTACTTATCTTCATATTGCTTCATATGCTGCCTTTGTTGAATGAATTCTTCCATCATTGTAATAGATGATCTCGTGGCCATTGATGCAGAGTTTGTGACTCTGAATCAAGAGGAAGCAGAACTGCGAAGTGATGGGACACGCTCCACCATCAAGCCCTCTCAGATGTCAGTCGCTCGAATCTCCTGCATTAGAGGGTCAGTGCATTTGTCTGTTTTCTTATCTCCTTTGGACCTATTTTCTATCATTTTCCATTCTCAATGATCTCATTTCTAGGCAAGGCATCAGTGAGGGACTGCCCTTCATGGACGACTACATCTCAACTCAGGAACAGGTGGTGGACTATTTGACCCAATTCTCTGGGATCAAGCCGGGTGACTTGGATGCCAACATTTCCTCCAAGCACCTCACTACCCTCAAGTCTACTTATCTGAAGTTGCGGTATCTGGTAGACAATGGAATCAAGTTTGTGGGGCATGGGCTCAAGAATGACTTCAGGTAATAACAGGCACTCACAAGGACTAATGCCTTGTTGTGTTCCCATGACATTGCAGGCAGCAGTGTTTTAAATTGTGGTATTTACCATTTCTAGGGTGATCAATATGGTAGTGCCACCAGAGCAAGTGATTGATACGGTGCTTCTCTTTCACCTTCCGCATCAAAGGATGGTGTCTCTGCGCTTCCTTGCCTGGCACTTTCTTGGTATTTATTCCATCTTCCTTTCATGAAAAACTAATCAGGTAATGGCTATATGTGCTGGAACAAGTGTAAAGTTTTGCATCCACTGAGTTGGCACAAGACAATGATTGAGAACAAATTCTAGAATTAGGAGATGTGATCCAAAAAAAAGATTGCTTACCCAGCAGAGGTACTTAATTTTCTTACTCTTCCATGGAGCTTGCACAAAAATTTGACCCAGTGATACTTCAACAATTGAAAAGAAATTTTTTGCATTTGCAAAAGAGTTCTGGTTATTTCATGAGAATGAAAGTCTGGATAGATATTAATTTGGACCCTTGATCAGGGTCCTATTTTTACCAATTTTTAGTTGATATAAGCAAAGAAATGTTCATGAGGAAATCACAAGCAATGGAAAGGTAGTTGGAACTCCACAGTTGGGTATCTAGACATGAAAGTGTCTTTGTTCATTTTTATCTTTGTCCGATCTGAAAGAAGTTTGATTGGGATATCCAACAGGAGAGAAGATCCAGTCGTACATGCACGACTCGATCGAGGACGCCCGCACTGCCCTCCGCCTCTACCGAAGGTACCAGGAGCTGGAGAAAGCCGGGGAAGTGGATGCGGCCCTGAAGAAGCTCTACGCCACGGGCCGAGAATGCGGCTGGAAGGTGCCCGGATTGGACGAAGACTGAAGAGTACAAAAGGAAGAGAGGGATTCCTCCACGTTGCATCTGTGATCTCACACACTCCTACTTTTATACCTCTTTTTTCTTAATGTTGATTTTTGTCCTCTCTTTCCCTCGGATATTTCTGCTAGAGTCTTTTTTTTTGTCTGTGCCTAATGAAGGGCTGTCCAGAAGATTTCGTGTTTTGTTTCCCTTTGGTCTGAGTCCTCAGGCTTTGGTTTTTGGACATGTTCACAATCCTATAAGTGCAATACATTCAAAATGGAGTTTAACACTTTCAGACCCTGTGTCCATTCCGATGGACACCACATTTCCTATGCTTCTATGGTGATTCCTTGGGATTCTCATGACTTAGCACCTCACATTCCATTACAATGGACACTATTCTGCACTACTTAACTATGTAGGAAGCCTAATATTCAGCTATATATTTAAGTGTGTGAGGGGAGGTGCAAAAGTAGTGAGACTTGTGCTTTTGTTGTCTTTCTTTTGACAAACTGATCCATAGATGGAAAAAACATGTATCAGTGTGGAGACCACATTGAGAAATAAAGAAATATTGACAGGACTTGCAAAGGTGTCTATAAAGTCTTGTCTGCATAATCTCACTTGTTTTGCACCTTCCCTTGTGTAATATATATGGTATATCTATATAAAATATAAAAACTATATACAGAGAGTAAAAAGTGAAAGTAGAATGGGAAAATGTCCCAAAAATATCAGGAATGATAAAATTGTAATGTTCTGAGTGGCTTTAATTCAGGTCTGAAGGGGTTAACGAAAAGCAAAGGAGTCATAAAAATGGTCATACTGGTAAGTGTTTTCCACATTTCCCCCTGTGGCGATATATTTTACCTGTTGAGCTTATTGTACGGGGTGTCCCAGAATTCTGTCACGTTTTTATTCTGTTTTTGGTGTTGAAAGGGTTTCTTAATTGGTTTATGTTCATGTTTTTTCTTTCCAACTGGTAATCTGAATGCTGTTGTTTTTTTTAGAGGATGCACCATACCCTATGCGTTTACTAATAAATTTACTAATTTACTAATAAATAAATAAATAAAACTGTGAAAGGAATCCTGGGACACCCTGAAAAAAATGCCCGTGTCGAAAAGCATTCATCACGAAGTTTTTGCACTTGACAGCCAGTGGCGGATTGGCTTGCAAGGCCTAACCTTGATAATCAAACAAAAAGAGGCAGGCGCAAGAGCTGCCATAAATTGCAAGTGATCTGCATTTCCTCATAGCATCTGCTTGGCAGCAAAGGTGCTTCCTGTCGGAATAGGATTCTCCCGTTCCCACTCGGCGATGAAGGAAAAAGTCGTGCTGTTTTTCATGGAAAATTTGTAGCACAGGCAGTCCCTTCGTGTGTCTCCCTCGCTAAAAGGGACCACCTGGTGACCACTTCAGCAATGGACCTTGAGCGTGAAAAAGCCACAAGGTATGTCTGTGGGAGAACCCTGTATCAGAGTAATAAATTATGCACTAGAAACGGCTGGGGCTATTGAAAAGGCCCGGGGAATGCAGCCGGATCGTGTCGACCGGCCCCCGGCTCCCTCAAGTCGGAGCATGCGCAGTCCCTGCTTCTCGGCTGCTTCAATGGGGGAAGGGCAGGCTCGGAGCCGGCCTGTGTGCGACGTTGCCGTATGCTTCCAGCGTTGCCACGATCCCACTGGTTTTTCCAGTCTTACCCGCTTATCAAGTGCCCACACGCGTTTCTCCATGACCCCTTCCGAGTCTCGAACCTGGTAGTGATTATAAAAGGGGTTCGCACGGCTCTGTAATAATAATAATTTTAATGTTAACCACATTAAGAAACTGTTGGTCGTCACGAACGACATCCATTTTATTAATTACCACGAACTGCCACTTTTGGAAAAAGCCCGTTTTCTGGTCGGCAATCTGCAAGAATTACTTTGTATAGTCCATGTCAAAGTTAGCCTTAATTTTGCTGAGTTGTTGACTCTCAGACCAGTCTCTTCCTAATGGGAGGGGAAAAGGAGAAAAGTGATACAGGACTTCAAAGGGCGGAGTACGCTCAAGAGCATTTTTAACTTCCAGATAATTCCTCTCTGAGCGCTTAGTGCTGCTTCCCCGCTGAGTTAGGGATACATTTATGTAAACATGCCACGTGCCGTCAGCCCCCTCACAGCCTGGTTCCAGGAAGAGTGGGATAAAAAAAAGTGGAGGTTGAGGCTTCGCGCAAGCTCCACCATCCTCTATCGTCTTCTATGTAAAATTGACTATTAAATCGCTGTCATTCAGAAAGGAGCGATCAGCATTCACGACATACGCCATGGATATTATGAACCTCACCCACGCCCAACCCAGCGCCCTTTTCCATGGATGCTTCCATGCATCATGTGAGCCTAAGCCTAAGTAGCCTGTTGTGGACAGCATAGAAATGGAAAGGAAAATAATTCCTACTGCGACGAACTCCCTCGACCGAAACGAGCGGGTGAGCCTGCGCCGCGCCACCTGTCGGCAGATGGCTGAACTATGGAGAGAGGCCATTCTGCCATCTGTCGGCAGGCGGTGGAACTTGGAAGTGCGACCGTGCACGGGGTTTGGGGAAGTGGCGAGTGCCATCATGGCCGACCCGTCTCTTTACGTCGATGCGTTACCTCTTTCTTCCCGTTTGGGTACGGCTGGAAAACGCGTGTTTTCGTCCTAGAATGCTATAAGTGATCAGTGATGTTCCCTCGTGAGAGTTTAAGCTAAGTTTGTGCTCGGGAGACGATATCGAGGACCTCCCTGGAGTTGGCTGCTTCTTGGCTTACCGTAGGCTTTCGTTGAGCATATGATTGGCCTAACGTTATCCTGCGCTAGCCGGGATGGTGTTGCGCCTGCTGTGCTCCTCATGGCTTAGTGCTATTGGTGCCCCAATGAACACTTCTGCTAGGCCTATATCATCAATGCTTTTCAGTTTACCTCATTTTTCAGTTTAGTTTGTATTTCCTTATGCAAAGGAAACTTAATCTAGGCTTTCCCCTATACGCTTATCTAATTTTCTCGGCACCTGAGTAAAAAAGAAAGGAGGAACAAATATGGTTCGAAAGGGCAGAAAAATGCCCTAAAAAGTAAGAAACCAAAGAAATCAGAAAACAGAAAAGAATGGGTACTAGGGGATATTCTAGTCAGGCTACAGCATGATAGTTATTCTTTGTGGATTGAGTCTGTCCCTCCCCTCCCCCCCGGGTTCTGAAGATTGAAGATAATGCTATGTTCGCAGGATTTGCTTCATCAGATTGTCATAAAATCCATCCTTGTAGATGGTGTCACTACTTGCAACCAATGGAAGCATTCCCCTAGGGCAGTGGTTCCCAATCTTTTTTCATTTGCGGCACACATAAGAACACTTGAACTTTCCACGGCACACCTAGCCATTTACTCACTTTCAATGGGAAACTTGTGCTTGCTTCGCTGAACACAGCAGTTTCATACGAGGCATGATAGTGCTACTCTCAGCTCGTTTTCTACTAAAAGATGGCGTTCCCTCTTGTTTTTAATTTTTTTTTAGTTCTAGTTTTTTTAGTTTTTTTTATTGTCAACTCTGAAATCTCACGGCACACTTAAGCCTTACCGGCGGCCCACCAGTGTGCAGCGGCACACCGTTTGGGAAACACTGCCCTAGGGAATAAGAAGTCAATCCAAATATAGTGTAAGTTACAGCAGATATAGAAGATACACATTTGATCAATTGAAAGCTTTCATTGAGTGAAACAAAGGTCAAAGAATATGAGAACAAGTAGGCTATGAATTTTTAAAAAGCAGAAATGTAAATCATTGAAGTGAGCTCAATTTGTTTTTACCTTGTCTAGTAACAATGCCATGTCTGGAAGTAACCTTTGTTGAACTTGTTAACCAAGAGTCTTGCTTGTTTTAACTCCTTTTAATGTTCAAATTGATATATTTATATGATCCTGAGATGGATGTGAAATTTTATTTGCATGCATTTTTAGTTATTGATGCCATCCTGGCCCTTTCTGGTGGAATTCACTATTTAAACATTTGCTTAAGTGTCAGTGCAAACCTAAACTTATATCTATGACAGAAAATGATGTCATCAGTATGCACTTTTCATTGTATATAATGGAATTTCATTAGCCTATGCATTGTTAAATTTTATTTCAATAGAGAAATTGTAGGCCTAATTGGTTGTGAGCAATAGGATGGCCATGGGGCTCTAGTACTCCATGCATATTTAAATATCGTGTATTTGAAAAAGGCTCTGTGTTACCCTCTCCTACATCATGCTCTGGCTTCTGCCAGATTTTTTGGCCTTCCACTTAAGTTCTTGGCCCCTCCCATTCTTGCTTTGAAAGATTTAGGGCCCATTCTTACCAACTGCAAAGAGCTGTGCTGGGACCATTGCAGATTCTTACAATCATTTGCACTAGGAATGGGTGAGACCCTTGTATTCAGTTAGATAGGCTTTCCAATGAAATTGGAAGAGTCAATTCCAGTTGCATCTTCACAGTGTTTTGTGCTGTGCATGTGCTAAATGTGGATAATGTAGTTGTTTGATTATGGTTTTGTACTATGTACTATCATAATCACCACCATTGAATATCCATAAAAGATACCTACATAAACATGAAAAATGTTCATGTGAGGTCTCAAGGTCATGTTCCTTTTCCCCCCATATTTGTATCTATATTTATGGAGTTGAGAAGTTCCTTGTGGGATTCCAATAGCCTGAGTTGTACTGTTCTATATGAGGTATCTACTGGTAATGATGATCAATATTTGAGATATTCGGTGGAGTGTGTCATCTCAGGGTCACTGCCAGCCTTTGTGCGAGGGAAAAGCTTTGTCTGATGTTTGTGTTCTGTTCTTTCAGGGCATTCTCCAGCAAACCAAAAAGGGTCTTGAATAGCTCAGGAGACATTCTCACGCACTTCTGAAAATACTCCTTGTCTTTGGTAATGATTTTTCCTTCTTCTGATAATGGTTTATAGGGTGTATCCATCATCGCAAATAACTTTTTCTCCCCTGGCATTGTAAAGAATGCATAAGTGCAGCAGTACAAACTTAGGTTTTATGCAACCATACTGGATTTTACTTGGGTGCTCTGTGATTAGTGGGCAAGATGCTTTGGATGTGTTCATGGTCAAGGAATAACTGTAGACGTTGCAGGCAGTCACCATGTGATTGAACCACAGCTCTTCTGCAGTTGGTGTGCATCGACCTTTAGTCTTGCCTGTTTTGTATTCTGGTCTGCCTGATCCCATAAAAAAGAACATTGATAATGATAATAAATTCAATGACCTGGAATGAGGGTAGTGAGTTGTATGAAATTTAAGAAATTTTGCCACCTCCATGTGTTGCCACTATTTGTCAAATTCAGAATGGTAAAACATGACATCATCTATTTTGCATTGGTAACCTGAATAATCTATAATACCTGCCAGGTAGACCCCTAGGTCTGAACCCTTTTTTTTAAGCCAGACTTATTCTCATCCATTACATGGGGTGCTTTGTCAAGTTTCCTTTTCTAATCACACCCATCATCCATTCTCCCTCCTTCCCTCCCTCCAGTTCCCTCAAGTCCTGTTGAAAACTCACCTTCTCTGGTGACGTAGTCATAGCAAAGTTTCATGGGTCATGTCTCATCCACAGAGATTTCTCACTTGGAGCTATCACCAGTCAGAGAAGTCGAGGTGAGACTAGGGTGTTATAGTCTATCTGTCCATCAGTTCATTTTTGGCTTTTTGATCATTAGCCAATGTTTTCCAATGCTAGGCAATAATGTATGCTGTAAATGTTTCACTGAATAATTAACCTGCCCTTTGAGCTGTTTGGTAAATCAACACTTATGCCAACAGTGCATTGCAGTAATGGGTGGGTTGCTAATGTCCTTGCATTGCTTGGCTGCAATCTTCACCCAGTATCAGAGCTTCCTGTTCTGTTGCGGAATCTCTCTCTTGGTCATTAGTTTTGGTTTTAAAAAATTTTTCATTGGTTTTGGCAGATTATTAAATTGACATAGGTTGTTTTTTGGCCACATTTATATTTTGCATGACAGTTGTCTAGTGTTTTCAAAGTCCTAGTGGAGGATATAATTTATTGTGGGACTGCATGAGCTGCATTTTAATTCTTGCCAGATGACTTTCTCCCATTGCAGTGTCCACAGGAAAAGAAAATATATCAAATGAATTACCAGTTAAGTTAAGGGCTGGAGTTTTGCAATCAAACATGGACATTGCTGATTCTCAGATAAACAGGTGAATGTGCAGTTTTGACTTTTTTCAGGAGGAAAAGTTTTCCCCACTTTTGGGTTTGCATATGAAAAAATAGGAATATTAGACTTCGAACCAGGATTCATGAGAGTCTTTCTAGCAGAAGGTGGCATTGTTTATATTTTTCAGTTTGAAAAAATCACTTATTCTCATGAAAGGGTCAATATAGTTTATTTTTCCATTTGTCAGATTGTCAGCAACAACATAAAAAACTTCCATTCCTAAACCCAGGAATAAATAAAAAACTTTATGATGGGTGTCACAAAGAGGGATACTTATAGCTTGTAGAAGAGAAGAAATTCCAGGTTTCAATCCCATTTTCATTTTTTTAATGCTAGTGCTAACAGTAGTTGCCCTTGAAAATTTATTTAATTTAGTCCTAACTTCTGATGAATACATGTGACAATGTATGTCTAAGTGAGGGCTTTGTCCTTTCCCCATGAAAAGACATCACCTAAGTTGTTTGTTTCAGTCAACAGAGGTTTCCACTCCTCTGTGCTTCACAGTTATGTGCTTTCATCCAGCATAATAATACTGTGAGAAAGCCTAGCATTTGAGGGTGCAAACTATTTCTCATATTCATGTGATAAGGTTGCTAGATTGTGTTCACTAAGTGTTGAGATCATTGAAATTGCATGGACCATGGGTGGTGTATGTAGGATCAGTGAGTGCAATGTGGACTCGGCCTAACGGGCAGTGACATTGGCATTCCCTTGAGCACTTCGATGGGCAACAGAGAACCTCTCAGTCACGGCAACCTCTCAACGTACCTTCCAGTGTAGTGACAAAAATGAGTGAGAAACCCCTGGTCAACTATTCGGACGTGAGTTCGGAGGCATTCTCCGAGGTGGAGCAGGGTGAAATCACAGACGAGAGTCACAGCGATAACGAACGACATGGTCGCAAACCCAGACGAAGGGTTGCTCCTCCTATATCTCCCGATGCTTGGGCCCATGGTGCATCCCGGGATGTGGAGAACAATAACAGTCACTCTGGTGCCGAAGAAGACCTGCCAAAGACCAAGAACAAAAAGCACAAGAAGGAGAAGAAAAAACATCGGAGTGACAAGAAGAAGAGGAAGAAAAAGAAGAAGAACAAGACTTGGAGTTCGAGCAGTTCTCCCAGCCTGGACCCAATCTCTTCAGGAAGAGAGGATGATGCCCCTCCTCCGCCTGGCTCGGCTAGTCTGTTGATGGGACCCAGTTCCCGCCGGAGGACTGCCCTGGACCCGGCTGCAAGTCCCATCAGTTCAGGGTGTGAAGGTCTTTCACCGTTGAGTCCGGGTCACAGGAGGGGCCTGGAATCTCCACATACTCCTCCCCTGCCACCAAAGGCTTATGAGAAGCTCCCACACATGAGGAAAAGAGGAGCATCACCTTCACCTCCTTCCCCTCCTCAGGCTTTTCCTCCTCCTCCTCCTCCCCCTGGGATGCCATCTCATCCCCTTCCACCTTATCATTCGCCATCTCCTCCCCTGCAGAGGAGGAGGAGCAGGAAGAAGAAACGGAAAATGCGGACTTCACCTCACAGCAAGAGTCCTTCTCCAACCAGGTTTGAATGCCAACACTTGCATTCCTTTGTCAGGGTCTGATACAGAGGGTGCCATTTACTGGTGTGAACTTTAATTTCTGAGGTTTTTTTATTATTGGGAATTCATTGATGGACCACCTGTGATGTACCAGTTCAATTAGTTTATACACAAGTTGGTACTTCCATAACATGACTTTTACTGATGTAGTTATTGGGTATGACTTTGCTATTGGCTTATTTAACTGGAATTGTTGCTCCACATTAACACACCATAAATATTTTAGATTGAGGAGTCACTGTTTTTTCAAACTACCATTTTGACAATTCTAGAATAATATGGGGATATATCTTAGATTCATCTTTTTAAATGGCTTCAGCCAAATCTTCACTCATTACAATTTCATATTTATTCAAAAAAGTGAGTGACTATTTAGAAGTTTCACTTGCTGTGCATAAGTTTAAGCAGTTGGAGAAGGATAGATGCTATTGATGTTCACATCTTTATTCAGAAGACTGATGCAGGAATTGGATACAAATGTAAACACTGGAGAAAATGGGCTTTGCAGCAAATGCCTCAATGGCATTTGCTGCAGGGAGTCCACTTGGATGCCCTATTTTCATTGCCATGAAGGCAAACTGCACAAGACTTTTGATTAGATCTATGCATGATAATGAGATTCACAAGTGGACCAACTTTTGGGTAAGTGAGACGAAGTCCAATTCCCTTAAGCTTTTCTGCTTAAATCTAATTCTTGCCTGTGTTTTGAACTTTATGGTTTTGGGACCTGTGCCATTTGCAATGAAAATGCTTGCACTGTCCATATTTACTTTGAGACTGGACATTAATGTAAAAAAGACTGATCGAATAAGAATTATGTGATGTAGGGGTGAACTTGACAGCAGGGTCAGAATTTGCTGCTTCTCTTACCTTATATTGCTGACTTCTGTGTGTTCTACATTGTTCTTTATCATATCTCTCCTCACTCTCATGATTAATAGAAAGTAATGTGGTGTGATGAATGAGAATTCAGAATCATGCTATGATGTGGAATAGTTTATAAGTTGTAATGTTTTAATTTTTGTGATAGTGCTAGAACTAGGATTCAATTTGTTTTGAATGATTTTGATTAATCTCTGATTGTATTGATTAACCACTTTTCCAGCTTTGTGGAAAGAAAAGTTGAATGATTGAAGACACTAGTTAGAAGTGGTTTAACCCCTTGAACACACCAGGTATTGGATAATTTCCTGCTGTCATATGCCAGAATTTTGTATGAAATAAATTAATATTTTGTTTCTGCTTAAGTTCTCTACTTAACCCTTTCATAGTGTTTTATCATTATAAGGATCATATCTTTTGAGACTGCTCTTGCAGTTACCATTGAACAAAACATGTTTTATATGGTATCGCTTAACTGCTCACAAAAGGGGCTCTTTGGTGGTGCATGATTCATTCAAATAGGTTTTAGTTCAGGCAAGTTGGATCAAAATGAAAAGTTGTGACCTGATATTTTTATTTTTTGTGAAATGGAATTTTGAACGAAAAAGTAAGAAAATTATTTTTTTGTTGGAAAAGGGAAAAATATTGCATGCTGCAAGAATGAATGAATTAAATTGGGACAGAGACGAAGTTTTAGGGACTCCCCATGTGTGAACAATGGCCTGTTATTCAATAATTTTGGTCGATGATTCTTGCAATTAAAAAATTCAGTTTTTGAATATGTAAGTAAATATTTGGAATTTTCTGCAAGCTCTGTCTTTAGCTGGGCCTGTTCAATAGAAAAGTGGTGAAAACATGTCTCAGTTATTTGTGTCCTTAATTCAGCATGAAAGGGTTAAATGCAATTACCACTGACTACTTCTTCTCATGATACTGTCCCCCCCCCACCTGAGCACTCACCATGAGCAACTGGTGAGTGTCATGTGTATCAGTTGCATGATTCCTCCAAGATGCATATGGGTGCAGCATGTGTGTTCAAAGGATATGAAACTATCATGGAAACAGAATGTCATTTTATTTTGGAATGAAATTGAGCTTGCTTGCTTCATCTACAGATTTATATTTTCCTGTTTGTCAGGTTTTCCCAGTTACATCAGTTAAACTTATTGAACAGCTGATTTTGAAGTACTGGTTACTATTTTTGGGACAATATAAAAACTTTTTTCATGCTGCATGGACAGGGGCAAGAGACTTCGGTACGAGAGAGAATTGAACAGCTTGCACCAGGTGTATTCCCATTCGTCTTCATCTTCTTCATCCCGTTCGCCCCCTCCTGCTCCTGGGCACATCATCAGACGCCCCCAACCCAGTCGCTTGAATCGAAAGCAGGTTGCTGAGGCCAAGATGAACGATACCACCCTTTTTGCAATGTTGCGTCAGAAGAATCTGGAAAAGGATCGGAGAGAGGACCCTGAGATCGTGTATGAGAAGGTCAAGGAGAAGGAGCTACCTCCTTCCACTACCCCACCGCTTCCCATTCCTCCTGTGATTCAAGTATGTTTCATTGTTTCCTTTTGTTTATGCTGCATAAGGTGCAGGCATGCTCAATTCCTGCCAGTCTGAGAAACCAAAAAGTTAGCCAAGTGAAAGGCACGTTGTCATGTTTGCAATGATAGTGTAAGAAATTAGTGCCCATTGCCTCATTGTATATGTAGAATTGTTGATGCAAACAAATTTTGAGATGGTGTTCTCACAACTGGTACTTGGTGCTAAACCTCATCTTTAGATGCAGTGTTCTGGAAATTAATATTTATTCATTTATCCATAAGTATCTTAGCATTATTAACCCTTGTAATAGTGTTGCAACAGCATCTGTAATATGAAGAAAACCATCCAGCTGCATAATTTGGCATTTTAAAAGTTAAAGAGTCCAAATCACATGAAAAACTTCAAAAGTGGTTCTGGAGCTATTGATTGATGTACGGAGAGACAGGTTCCCATTTTCATTATCAGACCTATGTGGCTCCTATGGATGGCTGTATTGAAACTATTCTTTAGGTGCAAAAGGAGTCTCTGGCAGTATCAGAGATTGACTTGAAAGGCAAAGTACCTCCTGTGCAGGAGGGAAGAGTGGAGCCAAACCCTGACATTGAGAATGGATTGGAAGATGGGGAGGTGGATGAACCCCCACTGGAATCAGTAATAAAGTCCGGTGGAAGCTATGGACTCCATAAGAGTCTCACCCAGCTCCCCATGCCGCCAGGGATCGATCTCCTGGAGATGGAACTTGACAACATCGGGTCTTCTTCCTCTGCTTGCACCCCGGAGCAGGATTCCGAGGATGAGCGGCAGCGGCAGCAACGGAATCGCCCTGAAGCCATCAACAGATCCAAGCCCAATCGAACTAGAAGCATCACAAGAGATCTTCCCATGCCTCCTGTCAAAGACCTCAGTCTGTCTCTCTCTCTACTTTCATTCTGTCTATGTTTCTCTTTGGTTCACATTTTTATTCTATGCATTTTTTTTGGTCTGGGTAGTGCCACCAGATGTGGAAAATTTGTCAGAGGGGGAGGATGAGGTCCTCAGTCCCAAGATGCCAAGACTTGTTCCCAAGGCCAACATGAAGAGACCAATCATTGTGGGAAAGGCCAATCACGTCGATCCAAGGCCATGTGGCTGGGGCGATCGATGCGTTGAAGTTTTCGACTTTGTGATGCAGATTGGTGAAGGGACCTACGGTCAAGTGTACAAGGCTAGGGATCAGAAAACTGGTGAGTGCTTTCATTTCTAAGCACAGCCAGTTGCTGACTCTAGACAGTGTCATATGTAGCATATGAGAACTACCAGTGACTTTTTATTGCTGTAGATCTGTGCTGTAACATAGTATATTATTGCATGCCATCTGAGCTCTTAGGAATGGACTTATGTAGATGTAACTGATGGTGATTCCAATTTTTCAATATTGGTTGATAATGTGTGGTTTGTGATACCCAGTGTCAGGGTATTACTTTCTTATTGCTCCTTTTCTTCTGATTTTACCTTTCATCCAATTTCAGAATCCATGATTACTCAAACTGTCATTCAACCATTGATACTTCTGCACATTTCTGTCTGATCATGTTTTGTTCAATGTTTCTAATGGGACTAGTACATTCATCTATGTAGTATCTATAAAAAATAAACACAGTAGGAATGAATACATTCTTGGTGAGGCATGCAATATCATTGCAGTATGGTATTGTGGTCACTTTTGCATTTTAATGCATCTTGCTGTTATAGATGGGTGTGGAAGTGCCATATGCTATCTAGTTGACTTCCCACTGGTTGGATAGAAAAGGATGACATCATGCAAAATTATGACTCAGTGATGACAAGTTCTGACTAGATTCGCCACTCCTCTAGCTGATATCCTAAAAGAAGGTGAAATAGAGGAGGAGGAACTGTTTGGCACATTACAAGACCGAAAAAATTATGTAATATGATGCTTAGTCACTGTTTCAGGTATTCATTGCCAACTTTGGCAATGGCATACCCCCTTCCATTGCAAATCAGTAATCTATAATTGCCTTTAATATGCTGTTTTGGAGCTTTCAAAATAGTATCTGGTGGAAAACTGATGCATTCTAGGATTTCCCTATCCTGTTGATGGCTTGAGAAATCAGACAGGAATACTAGAGGTAGCATGATGAGGAGAATCCATGAGGAGCAGGAGAAAACCAGAAGGAAGCTTACCCTTCCTACTGAATGGCAAAGAAACACCAAAGTGCTGTGTTGTTATCATGCAACAGAAATGCTTTCATGATTGCCCATTTCCTGAGGTCAGCATGACAGCATAAGTTCAGATTCAGTTCATATCATCATGATCTTCCTTTCTGGACCCACTTGCTGTTAGTGGGGAGTGGTCTGAACAATCAACTATGTTGATTGTTCTTTTCTTCTCTGTTCTTTTGCAAAAATAACCCTGGAAGCAGGAAAAAGATTATATGTATGCATATTGATGAAGTGTAAAGGAAATGTGGATCTCCTGATATTGCAGGTCAGTTAGTGGCCCTGAAGAAGGTGCGCCTAGAGAACGAGAAGGAGGGCTTCCCGATCACAGCGATCCGAGAAATAAAAATCCTGCGACAGCTGAATCACCCCAACATTGTCAATCTCAAGGAGATTGTCACGGACAAAAGGGATGCTTTGGAGTTTCAGAAGGTACCTTTCGCCTCCACATGCAGGCAAAAGTTATTTTTTGGCCTCAGTGTTCAGGGTTCTTGATGAACTTAGGATCGAGGAGGATCTTTCTACCTCGTATTTGAATACATGGACCACGATCTGATGGGACTCCTGGAATCTGGGATGGTGGAATTCAACGAACAGCATAATGCCTCCATAATGAAGCAACTTCTCGACGGCCTTAACTATTGCCACCAGAAGAACTTCCTCCATCGGGATATCAAGTGTTCCAACATCCTCATGAATAACAAGTGAGTTCCTATTGCCTTTGCTAGATTATCTCTCTGACAGACTAATTTCATATTTCGCTGGAATTTATGGCAGTAATAAGTTATTATTATTATGTAATAGCAGGGGTACCTGGTGTTGCATGGGTGAATATTGTTTAGGAATATTGTATATTTGTCTGCACTAAATAAGGTACCCTGGGACAGGGCTGGATTTAGGGACAGGTGACCCAGGCAACTGGCTGGGGACAGAGCATCTTCAGCGGCCAGCCCTGCCCTGGGCCCCACCCTGGGGGGTCTGAATTTTGAAATGTCACCTAGCCTATGACCATCCCTGGACCAAATTAGGAAGCCATGCAAAGTTTGGTTGGACCAGGATCAGAAGTGTGGCTGTGCATAAAGGACTGACAGACACACAAACATACAGAAATATAGTATAGGTTCATGGTTGTCATGAAGTTAGGCATTTTGAAATAATGAGGAATTGCCTGACTTTAGTTAAAACTATTTGAGCAGAAACAATTGCATGAGATAATAGGAAACATTGATTCTGATTAAAACCAATTTTATTGCATCCAATATCCAATTTTTTAAATGCATCTTTCACACAGAAGATTTTAAACACTTTTTTCCTTTGACAGAGGTCAGGTGAAGCTGGCTGACTTTGGTCTGGCTCGGCTCTACAGTGCCGAGGACGAGGAGCGCCCTTACACCAACAAAGTGATCACACTGTGGTATCGTCCACCTGAATTGCTCCTTGGGGAAGAGCGATACGGCCCCGCTATCGATGTCTGGTCTTGTGGGTGCATCCTTGGGGAACTCTTCTGCAAGAGACCACTGTTTCAGGCCAACCAGGAGTTAGCCCAACTGGAAGCCATCTCCCGCGTGTGTGGGAGCCCAGAGCCCCGCATTTGGCCCAATGTGGTCAAGCTCCCTTTCTTCCGGAGCATGCGGCCCAAAAAGACGCATCGCCGGCGGTTGCGAGAAGAGTTCGCCTTCATGTCGCCTGCTCCCCTCGATCTTTTGGACCAAATGTTACTTCTGGATCCAGCCAAGAGGATCTCCGCAGCAGATGCACTTGCCCATAGGTGGCTCAAGGATGTCATCCCTGAAAAGCAAGTCCTCACTCTTACAGCATGATTCCTGGTTCTAGGATCAAGTCAAAGGAGTCCAGAAAATGTTAAAAAATGACTGTCCTAATATGATATTACCTTTTGGTGTAGTTTTCTCAAAACTGGGTCCAGGGTATTTTATTTCACAAGTGTGCATGTTGCAAAGGATAACAGGTTGATTCATGCTATCAGTCTGCTTGTGACCCTTTCAATACCTTCTTGAAGCTCAGTGTTCCTTGCCCTCGAAACAGTTTCTCACTGAGTAGCATGAAATTTATTTAAAGAACTTGACATCTACATGTCATGCATTCAGATGCAAAAAAGGTTTTGTGCTGGAGCCCTCTTTGGGTGAAGTTGGACTGTGAGCCTTTTTTTTTTATTCATTCGCCGTTCAGCATGCCGGTTCCAAACCTGCCGACGTGGCAAGACTGTCACGAGATGTGGAGCAAAAAGCGAAAGAGGCAGCAGAGGGAGCAGCAAGAGGCCATGCAACATCTTCCCCCCGGGAAACCCGCCCAGCTGAAGGGCTACATCAGCGAGGACTCTCAGGGACTCCCACCCATCGATGATCTCAAGTCTGTCCTCTGTTTGGGAGATGTGTGCAGGTACTCTGGAATGGAAACCGAGAGATGACTCGGCCCTGTCTTCATTTGCAGTGCCACTGGAGGAAAGGGAAAGCGAGAAGGCACTCCCGAGTCTCCGAGACACGCTTCCGTCACCCTCCAGCACACCCTGGGACGTCTTACGCAGATGCTCCAAATTGGAGAAGCTCTCTCTGTTCAGCAGCTCCAAGGGTTGCTGACAAAGTTGGCCTCTGACCAGGTGATGCTCATGCAACATGTTTGTGCAGGGCTGCAGTGACCCATCTCTTGTTTGCATTGAGTATTCAAACTTAAAGCCATTGATGAAGTTGGTTTTTCAAAAACCAAAAAATATTGGCTATGGACATCAGTCATTAGTTGTTTGTACCAGTCTCCGAGCCCCAATTAGTCAATTGTTGATTATATATTAGTCGGGTAGGTCTGATGTCATTGCTGCCCTAATTGTGATTTACCAACATTGTTCTGTCACTAATATTGTTTCCTATTTAAATCTGTGTTCATATCAAAAATCTCTACATGAATTGATTCATCTTGAGGTTCTTTAAGTTGATGGCCCTTACTCATTTCTCTTCCTTCTGTTTCCTTATTTTTTCATTTTCCTCATAAAGAAGGGCAATTTGAATGCATGACAGTCTACAGGATTTGTTATTTTGCAGCATGTATACAGGGTGGTCCATGATTGCCTCCCCAAAAGTAAAAGCTTATTACTTGTGATGTGTGCATCCGATTTCAATGATATATGACTCAAACGATAGCCAATTCAATATATTTTCATTGTAGGAAATTTCAGCATTCCATATGAAACTTCAACAAAGTTACATCCCTACAAACAAAAGCCTCCAAATCATTAGTGTTCAATGTGACTTCCACAATTTTCAGTGACTTGGTACAGTCCCTCTTTGAATGCCAGCAAAATTATTTCAGTCATCTCAAAGCCTACTGGGGTGAAGGCATCTCTAATGGCCTGTTTCAGCATATCTTGGTTTTCATAGGTCTGCCGATGTATCTCTTTAGGTTCAGAAACCTCTTATGAATTGCCTTCATGATCTCATCAGGAACTGAGGCATTTGGACCCAAACTGAAGAAATTTCCTAATTTTCCCTGCACAAATTCGCTCTCTTTAATTTATTAAACCAAATGGCAATATTCGTCCTCTGCAGGATACTGAGGTCACTTATAACAGACAATTCCTCGTGTTGCATGAAAAACCCACAAATGAATTGCAAATTTCAGAAGGTATTGTGATTATTCACAGGCTTGAGTTGCATGATATGACTACTTTCATTTGTTAAGGTGTAACTTTGTTCTATTTTTTGTGGAGTGCTGAAATTTTCCACAGTAAATATATATTGAATTGACTATCGTTTGAGTCAAGTATCATTGAAATTGGATGTATACTTCCTGAGTAATGAGCTTTTACTTTTGGGGAGACAATTGTGGACCACCCTGTATATAGGAGGGCCACCCTGAAATTGATTACTTTTTTTTTCCTCAAAATCCTTTTATTGTACTGGAACACAAATTTCACAGTGAATGCATACACCTTTTGAGATCCTTCAGTTATTTTTCCACGTGGTTTCCATCCCTTTTAATACGTTTTCACCAACAATGAACAAGACCTTGTATGCCAACGTGGTTGAAAAACTTTTCTGCCTTATGCAAACATTGTTTAACTGAACATTTCCCTGGATCATCATCTTCAAAATGTTTTCCACAGAGACCATCCTTCAAGGCATCGAAAAGATGGATTGGGGGTGTCTTCAATTTTTGCAAAAGTGAATTTAAAGGGATGGAAACCATGTGGAAAAATAACTGAAGGATCTCAAAAGGTGTATGCATTCACTGTGAAGTTTGTGTTCCAGTACAATAAGAGGTTTTTGAGAGGAAAAATATGAGGCATCTATTTCAGGGTGACCCTTGTACATATTAAAATGCCAATATTGAAGGAAGTGTACATTTATATATATTTCCTTCAATATTGGTATTTTTTATCCATTCTTTCACTTTCTTGTGGCAAAATTTTAAGCTCTTCAACCCCTGTTACAATAACATTTTGCTCCAAAAATACACAAAATATACAAAAAAACACTTATACACCTGCATCAGAAGCATCTACAGGGCTTTTGAAAGTCAACTCCTTAATGAAAATCAACTATTTCATTTTAAATTGAACTATCTCAAAAATTACGAAAAGTAAGCGAAAATTTGTTACATTCTCAAATAAGAGTTTAAGATTTTTGAAGTTCCAAAATTCTGAAGTTGACCTTGTGACATGATTAAGGACTTAAGTTTCAACTTATAAAAAATCTTTCCTATGCTTGATATAAGAAGAGGGTCTTGAGATCATTATAAGAGTTTCTTTGAAATGCATCGAGTCTGTTCGTGGAAGAGGGTCGGTATCTCCTCTCTCTACTCGGAAGTGAGAATTTTTTCTCCTCGATTTGTCGTAGAACCTGGACCAGAAGACATTCCGACTGGTGGACAGCATCAACAGTCAGCTGAGAGGAGGATCATCCAGGGAACCAGTCCTCAATCAAGAGGGTCAGTTCTCACTCCACTCTGAAGCTTCTTTCTTTGGGGAAGAAGCGGGGTGCACAGACGCTCAGAAGGCTTTGCCTCTCTGTGCCGAGCTCTCGTCGATGATTGGCCGACTACTACCCCTTCAAAGTTTGAATGCTTTTCATAACTCACAAATACGGAAACCTTGAAAGTTCTCGTGGATAGAGATGCAACTGCATTTACAATTTTCCTTCATGAGGCTATTCGGTTTTGAATGGGAAATGTTTTTGTTCTTTGTACAGTTCTTGTATCGTTCAGTTCTCTGTACGGTTCTTTCTTTACCAGCATACATTTTTTCACTGTCTTGCTGATGTTATGGTGATGAAGGAAGCAATAAGAGACAAAGGGATTTTGTAAGGGAAATTAAACTCAAAAAACAACATTTAAAAGAAACTGTTGAAATGTGAACTCTTCTTGGCCTGTGCCTGATGTCAGTAATCCTGATACTGGGTGGTAACTGCAATGGAAATGCAATTGATGCTATCGGTTAAGGTAGAAATGCAATATCATTGCTTTTTTACCTCAACGGCAACCCTCTGTTTATCTACACTTAGAGGTTTCCTCCTATACTAGACTATCCCAAACCCTATTCTTATTTCCCTTCTCTGTCCACATGATGCTTTTATATCCATGACAGAGGGCAGCGAAGAGGGAGCTGTTGGAGGAGGAAGTGCAGGCAGCGGGCACGAACCGGACAGCCTCAAGGCCGCCCTCCAGCAGATCCTCCAGCAGCACGGAGTGACCGGGATGGGCATCCAGGACAAGGACGCCGCGGCCAGGAGCAAGGCCGGCTATCAGCCCACCGGTCTCTACTGACCCGTATCCGGCCTCAACCGACCCGTCTCCGGCCTCTCCCGCGTGTGATAGCCGAGGAGGGGCGCGACGGTCCGAGACCGGAGACCGGTCGTAGGTTAATTCCGATCGCCTGTCTTTTTTTTTGTCATCATTTTCATTGTTGTTGTCTGGAAAGAAAGAATTAATTCAGAGTTCTACAATATGTCTTTTTTGGAGTGCCTTGGATAATGAAGGGGTGAGTGTATGGACTCCAGTGACATCTCTTGTCTCTTTTTTTCTGCTCGTTACCACTCACTCGGTGGAAGTTCACACTCGCTTCTGACACACGATGGTTTTGGGATTTCGATACGGTCGTACCGTTACCGTGTCTGAATCGCACGAGGGACTCGCCTTGGTTCCGACATGTAAAATCGGGGATCGGAAGATAAACGAATCGATGGAACCAGTGGCGTATTTTGGCTGAGGGGTCGGGGGGGCAGGGCAACAGCACGGGGGCGCCATACCCTACCCTAGCGATATCAGGTGGGGAAATTACTTCGTATTACTCCCAAGGGGGCGCCAGGGGGGGCGACTGCCCCCCCCCCCCCCCTCCCGTAAAATACGCCACTGGATGGAACCTTTCCTTTCGGCTTTCGTTTCGTTACACGTTAGTGATCGAGCATCGATGCCACCGAAGGAAACGGTATATTTGGGTGATCCATCACCCGACTCGACCATTTTCATTCGACATTACCTATTGAAGTTCCTGAAAGCGGACGTGTATTCCCGATGGCCCGCACCGAACCGCGGCCGGATTAGGCCTTTAAGCTCGAGAACGATTGCGTACGCTCTAATGCCATAGGGTGGAACTCGCCGGAAATTTGCATACGATCGATCGAGGGTTCCGTGATGGAACGCATCCCCGATTATCGATCGGACGAGCGTGGCTGTGGCGATTTCCAACGTTGTCTCCCTGAGACGGAACGGCCTCGGAGGGAAATTGGAAGTCTCCCTCGTTCCCGGGGGTTTTTTCTCCTCTCGCCTTGGAGTCGTACGCGACGGAACTCCCTCGAAACTCGATCGATGAATGGTGTTCCCACGTGGGCCCCCAGGCGAACGATTCTCTCCGAAACTGCACGCCCGCGTTCGGCGAGAGCGAAAAGCGCTCGAGCACGCTAGAGCCCTCCGCCGTACCGCAGGTTCCAGCAAGGACCCGCGGGCCGAACACGACCCGCCCCGCTTTCGCGTCTTCCCGCCGTCTGACGTACGAAAGAGATGCACCCGTTCGATCGATGGGATTTTGTTTCTTGCGGAGATCGCTCTCGTACGTCGTTCCGAGAAGGAACTTCGCGCTCTCCCCTCGTCGATAGCTCGAAATTGCTCGCGGTTGGAAGGTCTCTTATTTCCCCTCGATTCCCATCCAACACACGACGATTCGTGAAGTTTCGATCGGGCGATCGAGGAAATACGGAAGGGATCGTCCCGTCGCTCCTTTTTTTTGGAGCAGAAGTCGATGAGCCTCGATCGGATCGATATTTCGCAAGTGGCTGCTAGTTTTAATTTAGATTTTGAGTCTCGAAAGTTCTCAGTGTGGAGTGGGGTGACATCCAATCCGAAGGCGATCCTTAGAAAGTACTGGGGAAAGTACCGGTACCGCGACATTTCGGCATGACCGATTTTTTTTTACCGATGTTTTACCGAGATATCGCTCCGTTTTTTCGGTTTTTTTTTCCCCAAGGACGCTCCTACGCGCGAGGGGCATGGACTTGCGACGACCGAGGTAGCGACCGATGCCCATTTCGGGCAGGGAACGACACGTTCCCTCCCCTGTTCCCCGTTCGTGACGGGGAAATTACGTTCGGAGATGAAAATCGGATCCCCGCTCGATTCTTCCATATCGACTCGCTCGCCCGCCCTGCCCCATTCCCATCCATGCTCGTCGGCTCGACCCAACTCAACGAAACCGGGGGGGGGGGGGGGGGGGGAAACCGATCGATTGCCCCCTTCTTAGCGCATTCGGACTGCTGTACATCTCATCCCTACTGGCTGTCCATTGATTTTTTTTTTCGGAATGACCGCACATCAGAACGATGACATTCCCCTTCCTCTATCCACGTAATTTAAGTGGCAACAACTTCTCATGGGTAGGGGCCTGCGACGTCCCTCTTCCTCCCAGTGCAAAACTCACTGGTGTACCTTGCTTGCTGCACTGCTTTTCGTCCTTAATTACTTACTTTTACTCGTTCTCACAGCAGTCATGAATCCCGTCTGTTTCGTTTCATGCAGGTTCGTCCGGAACTATAAATCTATCTCTGCAAGTACTTACCTGCAATCATTTACAAATTTCATGCATACCAACTGGGACGCATCCGCGCCATCTCTGGCCGGTTTTATGAACTATCACTTACTGTTCCCGTGATAATATAAATATTTAAAAATTATATCTGAAAAAAATTCGTGACACCCCACTTTCGGTCCTCGTCCCTTCAAAATTTCCATCGAGACCCGCAAAGACAGACGCACTGGCTCCCCTCCACCACGAGAGACATCTAGCGAGAACCGAACGAACATCCCCGCGGAAAGACCCGAATCGCACGCGCGGGGTCGGTCCTCCGAGTCCAGCCACTTCCCTTGCCCGATTGGAATTTTGCATTGCAGGCGGTTATTATTGGCGCTGGACGCGGAATGCATTCGGCACTTGCGGTCCTTCGCGACCGATCGGCTCGGGATGACTTGTGAAACGCAGAGGATGTCATGTTTCGACTTCTGAATTCGGAATTGAAAAATTTTTTTGTTTTTTTTTTTTTACCCGCACGCTGTGCCACTTTGAAACCGGCAGCTCGTCGATGAGTGGAGCTCGGGTGGAACTCCCTCGGCATACCCAGGATCCCGTGTTTGCCTTCGTGGATCATGCACGAGGGAATGCCAGACACCGATTTTTTTGTTCAATGACCATTTATTATACAACATGCCCTTTACAGGAAAAGGATACAAGGTGGGAGGAGGTGGAATATACAGGACTAGTTATAGACAGATGGTGGTTCTTCAGCGGTTGTTGGAGTCCAGGTCTTGGG